TCTACATGTTTCAGGTCACTTGGGCTCCATCATCTCCATGACTACAGCGCGGTCAGCGGGGCTGATCTGGGATCAGAGCAGGGGAACTAAAGATGGCGTTACGTTTCCGATGTTTGGCGCTGACACTCGAGTTGAGCTCTCGGCTGCGAGCTCAGCTGAGGCCGCGGGACGATCACGCGCGTGACTCACAAAGCCAAGCCCGAGGCTTCACACGCCTGCTGTTCTCCGTGCCTGCAGGTCACCGCGTCCAGACACATAAGTACAGAGGATCAGACAAAAGGAGGCCTTTCATTCGCACAATTTCCGTAACGCAGCCTCAGCCGTCCGCGGCTTCTGAAGCGCCCGGCGAGGCTTGTTCCAGCACGAGCGTCTTTCTGCTGACTGAGCGAAAAGCTTCTGAGAACAGTCTGACACAGCAAACACAGGAAGTGACGGCTGAACTCACAGATATTTGAGGTTTTCCAGGTCTTCGAACGCCCCCCTGGGGATCCTCCGGATGTGATTGTTGTTGAGGAGGCTGAGGGGAAACAAACAAACATTTCTGCTTCAGTGTCAGTGCCTGTACTGTGCTAGCTTAGCAAAGAGCCACAGCAGGTCAGAGGTACAAAGCGAGCTCAGGTGAGACGTTAAATTCCTCGAGCCGACCTGCACGCGTACGAAAGCAGCAGAACAAAGCATGACTGTCAACCTTTCAGCTTCGTCCTCACGCTGAGCTCGTGCGTCTGGCTGGAGAACACTTACAGGGTGTTGAGGTTCTTTAGCCGCCTGAAGGAACCCGGCTGTAAATCCTTGATTTTGTTGAACCTCAGGTCTCTGCAAATAAAAGAAAGCATGTTCATAATCAGGAACATGAACCGAGCGTAACATTTATTTATCCATTTAGACCAGTTTGTTCTGGGAGATTTCTATTAAAAAAGACAAGACTGGACTTTACATAAAACATCTAAACAGCACATTTCTGTTGCGCCGTCTTCGTTTTGTTTTTTTGCCATTTTTGCAGGTTATGTAGTCCTGTGTTGACTGTCTGTCATATGTAGCACCACGGTCTCGCTGTACACCTGCACATGGCTGAATGACAATAAAGCCACTTGACTTGAGTTCAGACAGACAGGAAACCTGCTGATGTCCACGAGTTTAAGACTCGGCTGTCAGTGCCAGCAGAGGGTTTTTAACCAAGTATGACGTGAACATTTTTACTTATTTAAGTTGTCAGATTACTTTTGAGCCCCTGAGATGAAGGAACTGTTAAACATGTGATCCTCACATTTGTAAACAAATGAATTAAAGCTGAATCTGAGCTGTTTCATTCAAATTCACTGAGACAGAACCAAGTCTGTCCAAGTATTTATGGACCTGAGTGTAAACATCCGTTTATGTGCATAGCATGAAACGGATCCAGAAATTACATAATATCACTCATTTTATTTATTTGTGTCATTTATTTTTCTTTTTACAATTTATTTTTATGCATCTGTGTAAAATAAGTTAATAAATACAGAAACAAATGCTTCTATTTGTCTGCCTGGACTTTATTCATTCATTTATTTCACTGAATAATTGAATAAATAATCATGCACTGGCATGAATAAAGATCAATAATAATAACGTGACCTTGATCTTTGTTTTAAATGCTGCTTTTAATAATGAGTTTTGCCAAATGACGATCAGAGAAAATGCACGAGGAAAATCAATCAATCAATAAAAAGCTAAATGAATAAGCAGCACTTCTATGAAGGCTCAAAATCAGCAAACCTATGAATGCCAAGCTGTGCTGCATTAATCAAACATGCAGGAGAGCAGGATGTAAGTACTGGATAAAAGCTGAACAGTGACCATAAAGTCCAGCGCAGAGCCGCCACGCTCTCATCCTGAGGCACGTCTGGGCGTCTTACTCATGTGGCAGGAATGCTCTTATCGAGCTTTAATCACGAGGGCCGATTTAAAGCACATCAGCCCAAAAGATAACGAGCAGATGGCTTCGTAATGAGCTCAGGCACTAATCAGCCTTAATAAGAGCGAGCGTGCCGTCGGTGCGACGAGCTGAAAACACGCCGTTCCTCCAGCTTGGTGAAATCTGAACGTTGTGTTTTTGGCTCTGAGACATCTGAGCCGTGATGTTCTTTCAGCGCCACAGAGACACGAGCGTCAGGACGGATCCACGAGGCTGAATCGTCACTGAGCTGAGAGTCGAGACAGGAAAACATCAACGCTCCTGCTCCTCTAGAAGAACTCCTCCCCGGCAGAGCTCCCAGCATTCTTCGTATCCGCCGACCTGGCAGAGGAAGTCATCTGGGTCACTCAGACCCAAACTGACAGACATGCCCGACAGCCCCCCCAACTCTAAAGACTCTTCCTATGAAATCCAAAAACCTGAAAATCCACAAGCTTAAACCTGAACTCTGATCCGTTCCACTGAAGAAATCTACACAGGTGCATTCTGGGTAAACTGAAGGCTCCTGTCAGCATTCCTGTTCACAAATTCCTTCGTGCCAATATTTAAAGGACCCGCTCCAGAGAGCTGGGACTGGGCCGGGTGCAGGACCTCCCGTCTGGTCTCTGATTTCACCTATTTAACTGAACTACACCTGGCTGTTTGCAGCATCCTCCATCTCCGCTGTTTAATGAGGGCTGAGCGCTGCTTTACATCCTACCAGGGCAGAAATAAGGAAATATACCATGTCTAATAATCCCAGAAATTATTCAGTTCTTTTATAGTTAATGTCTGAATATTAGACAATCACCTGTAGTCTAACCAAACACCTGCTGTTGTTGTGCTGTGATGCATGTGAGTAAATGTAATGGAGACTTGAGGACAGGCATCGTCTCAAACCAAAGGTTTGCTCTGCAGCTCAAAGACAGAGCCGTGAGGGTCCACGAGGAAAGAGCAGGTACGGTACCCACAGAGCGCTCTGTCCAGACACGCCGAGGCCTACACCGCCCCCGGCTGTGAGGACGAGGAGGAGGGGGAGCTACGTGCTGGATCAGGCAGCTCTCCTTATAATGAACTTCTGTTAGAAGGTCTGAAAAGCCCGTGTCGTACATGCGACCCCGCCCTCAGAGCTGCCGATGGCTGTGAGGTCGTTAACTGGACCGGATTTAACGCGTCCTGCTCGGTGGCGGTGTTATTCTGGTTCAGTGCGAGTCGCTTTCATGGCTGGCATGACTGCGGCTCTTTGTGGAGAAGGCTATATAAGGTCAGCAGAGCTTTGTCTGCGGGGTGTGTTTAAAGCATCAGCTGTCGAGGCTCAGCTGACCAGAATGTCCTGGAAGGACGGGAGGCGGTGAAATTGGCCCCGAGGGCCCGACGAGCGCTCCGATGCAGCGGGAGGAGACGGACTGAAAGCTGGCTGTCCTACAGCTGGATCGTGTGTTTGTGTCAGAGCTCGTTCTGTCTGCAGATCTGTTAATGAAACCCTCGTGAGCGCCAAAGCCTGACGCTGCCCATCCATCATAACCACAACCACATCTAATCCCCGCTTGGAGAAAGGAGGCAGCTTTGCGACGTGCATGTCGACGCTGCTTCTGCAAGCACGAAAGCAAAAAACCTCAATTGTCTCAACACAATCAAACAGGATGTAATAACTCGCCCGAGGAGCACGGCGGTCTCTGGAGCCGCTCGATAGTTTAGAAAGAGGAGAAACTGGAGAAAAGCAGGGGAGGCGAGTGAGTCAGTCCACAAAGGGGAAATTACAGTGCGGAGCACGCTCAGTAAACAGTGTTTGTAGACGTCCACGCAGCGCTGCAGGCCGGCCCGAAATCCACACGCAGCATTTTAATGCCATTTGTGGCAGAGCTGATTTAATGAGTCAGATAACAGCCATTACGGTCCCGCGCCTCGAGGAACTGGCAGACAGCAAGGCTAACTCCCACACAACAGCAAGTCTGAGAACGGCGTCCCAGGTCACAGATGAAGGGAAATGAACAACAATGGGAGCAAAGGCAGGGAGGCGTGGAAAAAGATCGGCATTTCCCACACAGAGGCTCACTCAGACACTCAGGTACACAAACACTAGTGCAGGGAGGCAAAACCTGATCTCATCCACTGCTGAACTTCTAAGTTTGCTCCCGTCAAACGACCTGAGACACTCAAACAGATCCATGTATGCTACCCTGCACACAGTCTGTCCCCTCACATCACACCAAGTCTGAGGGAACGACAAACGAGCAAAACAGCAGGAACGAGGAAGAAACACCGACAGACTCGGCCAATCACTGCAGCTGATATGTTCATCCACCCGTCCTCTGACACGTCTCTGAAAGTCGCTCCTCTGACCCTGACCATCGTCAGCTCTGCTCGGTTCATTCTGAGCGCGCTCAGCAATCAGAGGAGATGCTGAGATGACCTCCAGCAGGTCTGCGGTGACCCTGGATGGGTTGGTATGGAAACCGAGCCAGTTTCATGGACTAATCAGAATTTTTCTTTGAGATTTGTGAATCATTTCCACGATGATGCGACTCACAGTTCTCTGCCACAGCAACAGGAAGTCATTGTGTTTGCTGTGATGCGTTTGACATATAAACAGTCAAAGACACGCAGGAAGTGAAGCACGGTGTTCCTGCGAAGAAAGGAAATCAGTTCACAGCTTCACAAAGACCACGAACAGATGAGACCAGGGCCTGCAGCAGGTGGAGGTCTGGCACTGCAGCCAGGTGAAGCCGCTGAGCCACACAGGTGAGTAAATGTGAGCCTCCGACGTTCTCCCCCGTCTGGCTGCACATCAGCTGCAGGAGCAGAAGCCGAGCGGTGTGAACGAGGCCAACGTGGCCGGCGTCCAGATCACAAACACGAGGCAAAGCCAATTATCATGCAGGACTTGGTGGGCGCACAAACCCAGACAAAAGCAACCGGTCCTGTGTGAAAGTGCGGCGTCTGCCCCGCAGCTGCTGCACGCACCTGTAATCTGACCCCAGATCAGGTCACTCGAGCAACCTGCAGCTCGTCTGGCACCGACTCGCAGACCTGCTGGCTTTTTATCTGACGCTGAGCTGGGAGGATTTCAGGTTTCTATGAATGTGGCGTGAGCC